GGGAGGAGGTTCTGGTTGGTCGTTGGCGAAAGATCACTCCCTTCACCGGACATGGAGGATGGGTGTGTGAGCGTGGGGAGTGCATGTGTTTGTTAGTGGATAGGTGGAAATGCGCCTCTCCCAAATGCATTCACTTCACCTCCCTGCCTGGTTGCTCTTCTCGCCGCGTTGCTAATATTCCTACCGTTCTTGACAAGGTGACGACAATGAAAACGACGAATTGATGAAATGCTACAACATCGTGAAAGGACTCTTCCTTCACTTGCCTCACTCAGCTCACCCTCTTCCAGATTGTAACTCCCCGTCTTCCACATCATTCTCATCCTTCTGTACCGCATTGTGGCAGCCTCTCATTAGCACCACCACTGCTTCCCGTCCTTCGTTTGTCCTTTTCAAACACGAGCCTCGATTGGCATTGTTAGTCAATTGATGGCATCATTCATAGCACTGTCAGCGTGTTGCCGAGCCTCAGAATCTGTGGAGAGCAAGGAGGAGGAGGAGGAGGATGATGTGACACTTTTCTTGTACCTCCTACAATCGCACCCTTTCAATCCAATAATTATGGTATTGTTAATTTGTAAGCTGGTCATTTGAAACTCTGGGATGAGACACTATGCATGCGGTCACCTACAAGGAGTCTTTCAAGCAGTCACACTGGATAATTCTCATGTGTGATGAGTAAAGGTGCAGCCTTGTAATGAGTTTTGGATGGAGGAGAACAGCAATGTGTAATGCAATGTAATAAAGGATCGATGGTGTCCAATTTCTCTCAGCTTCCTCTGGACGTTCTCTATGCCTGACAGCAGTGATAGGAACACGGAGGAGGAGGAGGAGGAGGAGGAGGATGCAGATGTAAGAACAACGGCTGGCGAAGAGGGGCGTGAACAGGTGTGTTGTGTAATGCCCTTGACTGGTGTCGTGATGAGCATGTTAGCTACCCTCGACCACCATTCCTCTAAACAATATATTCAGCCTGCCTTCTTGTAAATTCAACAGGTCGACTACATCGTGGACGTCGACTTAAGATGTTAGTGGTTGTAGAAGCTGGAACCGAAGAAAATAAATG